AGTGCAGAGTCCTAACCACTGGACTGCCAGGGAATTCCAAATTTTTTTTTTTTTTTTTTTAGGTAAGAAGTGGATTTATTTAGAGAGAAACACACTTCCCAGACAGACTATGGGTCATCTTGGAAGGTGAGAGAGGCGTCAGGGGTACGGGGTTGTCGGTTTTTACAGGGGTGGGTAATTTCATAGGCTGAGTGGGAGGAGTATTCCAGCTATTTTGGGGAAGGGGTGGGGATTTCCAGGAATTGGGCCACCGCCCACTTTTTGATCCTTATCAGCGTTGGAGCTGTCACGGCACCTGTGGTTACATCATTTAGCTTGCTGATGTGTTACAGTGAGGGTATACTGTATACTGAGGCTCAAGGTCTAGTAGAAGTTGACTTGTCCACTATCTCATTTGGTTCTAGTCAGTTTATGTCATGTCCTCGGGCTATGTCATTCTTTCAACGGTTACGCCCTGCCCCTTCCCCTCCTATTTCACTCCCCTCTCAGATTTTAGTCCCGTATTCTTATGGGAAGCAGAGGGGTGATGGTCATCTGTAACTGCTTCAAGGCTGAGTAGGGACACTGACCCTTCCTGTCAGGGAGTAAACATCTCTGGATGCCTGATCTAGGGGCCCAGGGCCAGGACAGCTCCTCACACAGCCGTACGTCTTGATGCGGAACTGCTGTAACTGCTTCCATAGCCTCTCTATGATCTTGATGATGAAGCACTTGTTCTAACAGCGTCAGAGTACAGAAATATCCATCTATAAATGACAAGAGATTTTACATGCTCTCCCTTCCAAGGCAGCCTCCCAACCAGGTGTTAGAGTGCGCCAAAAGTTGTCTCAAAGAAACGGCACAGAATGTGTCCCCAGTGGTGTTGACGATGAGAGGGAGTTGGTCTAGCTTATCACTGTCCCTTCGTGGCTTGCCAGCTGAAACCGTGGAACTCAGATTTGGGACTTGAACCCACGCACCGGGAATTGAACCCAGCCAAAACCCAGACTGGGACTTGAACCCAAGGCCTTTATATATTTATTTTTTTTTGCGGTACGCGGGCCTCTCACTGTTGTGGCCTCTCCCACTGCGGAGCACAGGCTCCGGACGTGCAGGCTCAGCAGCCATGGCTCAAGGGCCCAGCCGCTCCGCGGCATGTGGGATCCTCCCGGACCGGGGCACGAACCCGTGTCCCCTGCATCGGCAGGCGGACTCTCAACCACTGCGCCACCAGGGAAGCCCCCAAGGTATTTAAATTGAGATCACACACCTGGTCTCAGGACTTAATGAAGTTCAGGTTCTTGATGTCTCATCACAGAAAGAATTCAGTGAGAGACCAAGTGATAGGTAAGAAGTGGATTTATTTAGAGAGAAACACTCCACAGACAGAGTGTGGGCCATCTCAGAAGGCGAGAGAGGCCCTGAAAAATTTTAATTAATGCTATAAAATAGTATATTCTTTTAAGTGGGAACGTTGAGTCAAAGACATGCACATTTAAAGTTTTCGACAAATGTTGCCAAATTTCAGAAGAAACAAATGTGACATCCACACATATAATTAAAATATTCCTAGTATCACATTAAGAAAGGAAAAAGCAACAGATACAGTTAAATAATATACTTTATTCAGTTCAAAATATCCAAAATGTTATTTAAACATATAATGTAAAACTCACTAATGAGATATTTTACCTTTTTTACTTCTGAACAGTCTTCAAATCTCAGTGTGTATTTTACACTTACTTTACCACCTGGCCACACTTCAAGTGCTCAAGATTGTATGTGGCTGTTTGTAACCAAACTGGATAATGCTGACCTAGAATCTTTTCCCATGCTTACCTACTGGTTTAGTGCAGCAGTCAGGTAAACTCTGGTCCATAGCTCAAATCTTTTGACTGTGGCCCTGATTCTGTTTGGTTTACAGGCTGAGTGGCTTTTCTTCTTAAAAGGTTGTAAAAAAAATAAAAATAAAAATAAAGAGGAACATGTGGTCCAGAGCATATGTGGCCTGCAAAACCTAAAATATTTATTATTTGGCCCTCAACAGAAAAACTCTGGTGAACCCTGGTCTGGTGTAACTGAATGCACTCGGGTTTATTCTATTTATTTGCAATGTCAATGCGTTCAAGTTTCTTTGCTTTTATGATGTTTCACTTTAGCCACACATACCTAGAAGAGACTGGAAGCATCTCTAGTGATCTTTGACTTCTCTTTGCATAGCTTTCCCCTCCTTGGTCAATCTCATTTTGTTCATCTTCTCAAAGAACCAACTTCTGGTTCTGTTGATTCTTTGTATCATTAAAACAATTCTCTATTTGACTGTACTCTAATCCCTCTTATTTTCTGCCTTCTGTTGCTTTTGGTTTTGTTTGTTCTTTGTTTTAGCTTCTTACCATGTAGAGTTAGTTTATTGATTTGAGATCTTTCTTCTTTTTCAATGTAGGCATTTCCTGCCATCAACTGTCTTCTGAGTGTGCCTTTCACTGCATCCTGTAAGTTGTGGTTTGTTTTGATTTTCACTCCTATGTATTTTCTAATTTCCCTTATGATTTCTTCTTGCACCCATCTGTTGCTTAAGAGTGTGTGGTTTAATTTTTGTTTTCCTTCTGTTGATTTCTAGTTTCATTACATTGTGGTCAGGTTTCAATCTGTGCTTTCAATCTTTTCAATTTGTTGAGATTATTTTGTGGCCTAACATAGGGTCTATCCTGGAGAATGTTCTATATGTGTTCTGTTGGTGGTGGAATGGTCTGTATATGTCTGGCATCCCTCCCCCCAAATATGTTCCATGTTCCCTTATTCCCTCCCTTCCGAGGATCCAAATCCTTAACCTAACCCTAACACTAAGGTATACGTAACCCAAGGACAAAGTAAGTTGAATTGAAATGTAACCCCAACCCTGAGATAACCAAACATAAGGCCTATGTCAACCTGATTCTGAACCCTCTGTCGGCCTTCATAAGGCACTCCTCTGGGCTCTAACCACACTGGCATCCCCTGTGCCACAGTTCTCCCATTGGCTGTAGCACCCACCCTAGATCTCCCAGGCCACATTCACAGATAGCATTCAAGTTCTCCAGCTCTCAGAGGCTCCCCTCCTGGACTCTCCTTTTCTCCAGTCTCCCAGGACCTGTCTGAGCTCAAGCCTCTCCCTCCGAATGCACCAGGCCCTCCCATGGCCATCAGCCCCACCCCTAGCTTTTCAAACTCACTCCCATGGGCTCTAGTCCTCTCCCACCCATACTCTTAGATTCCCCACCATGGGCTCAAGTCGTTTCTTCAAGACAACCCGCTTTCTTCACTCTAGGACCGACCCTTTTAAGACAGCTCAGGTCCCTCCAGAGTCTAACTGCTCCCTGAACTCTCTCAAGGACTTGATCCTGGGCCCTGGCCCCTTCCCCAGGGCAAATCCACTTGCCTCCCTTGAGTATCACCTTCCCATCCCTGTTGCGGGACCTCCAGGATTTGGAGAGGTCCAGTGTGCTGATTCTGTTCCTTCTTCTTCTTCTTCTTTTTTTTTAAAATAAATTTATTATTTATTTATTTTTGGCTGCGTTGGGTCTTCGTTGCTGCGCGTGGGCTTTCTCTAGTTGCGACGAGCGGGGGCTACTCTTCATTGTGATGCGTGGGCTTCTCATTGCGGTGGCTTCTCTTGTTGCAGAACATGGGCTCTAGGCACATGGGCTTCAGTAGTTGTGGCACACGGGCTTCAGTAGTTGTCACTCACAGGCTTAGTTGCTCCGCGGCATGTGGGATCTTCCCGGACCAGGGCTCGAACCCATGTCCCCTGCATTGGCAGGAGGATTCTTAACCACTGTGCCACCAGGGAAGCCGCCGTTCCTTCTTGAACAGGCCATGTTTGAACATCCAACGAAGACACTGGCTTATAAGCAGTTTTAACATCAGCCATTCTGGTGTGTGTCTAGTGACATCCCATGATGATTTTACTTTGCATATCCTTGAGGAGTGATGACATTTAACACATCTGCACTTACTTATTTGCCATTTGGTGATCTTAAGTGCTTATGTAAGTCTCCCTCCACCTTTTAATTGATTTGTTGTTTTACTGACTTGAAGGATTCTTTTTATCCTTTCTTTGTGAATCCTTTGTCAGGTTTATGTAAATATCTTCTCCCAGCCTTCTTGCTTTTTCACCACCTTCATGGTGTCATTTGATGATCAGAACTTTGTACTTTTGATGAAGTCCAACTTAATAATAACTTTTTATTTTCTGTTTAATGTCTTCTGTATACTAAGAAATGCTGCCTACCCCAATGCTGTGACAATAATCTCCTAAATTTTCTATTTTTTTTTTTTTTTTTTGCCCGTGCCGCACGGCTTGTGGGATCTCAGTTCCCCAACCAGCGATCGAACCTGTGCCCCCTGCAGTGGAAACAGAGTCTTAACCACTGGACCACCAGGGAATTCCCCATATTTTCTTCTAGAAGTTTGATAGTCTTTTCTCAGCTCACTGCACCTGCAGGGGGTCTTCTTGTAAAAATTCACTAATAGCAACGTTAATGGTAATGAGAACAACAACAACAGCTAATATTTATTGAGCTTACACAACATTTCAGATATACGTTCAAGGAGCTTACATGTACCAAACTCATTTAATCACCACAACAGCAGTATTGGGTAGGTGTGATTATCCCCATTTCACAGATAATGCACAGGGAGTAATAGCTAATTTTCTCAGTGCCTCACAGGGAGTAAAGAGGTGGGACGGTGATGGAAACAGGTAGGGGTATGTACCACGAGAAAAGCTCTCCCACATATGCTCCATTAGCAGAGTTTTACCTTAGAACAAATCTGAAATATGACAGAGATGAAATGCTATTGGAAGGTTTCTACGCATTCAGGAAACTAACCTATCCAGTAGAAAATAGTCTACAACTGAGTATGTTGTGATCGATAAGAAAAAGTGATCTCTCCAATTCTCCAAATTCACCTCTTATATGACTTCTGATATTCTATAAGCAGAAGAGGGACCAGTGAAGGCTTTCTTGCATTAAGTCTTATCACGGATTTTCCTCTTGTCGTGGAAGAAATGAATGTTGAATAGAGGCCTCTGTATGCTCTTTGTACCCAAAAGGTTTCTCAACAGCATGAATTCTCTGATGTTCTGGAGGATGGTTTACACGTTTACATGCCTTTCCACATTCCTTACACTCTGAGGGTTTCTCACCAGTATGAATTTTCTGATGCTGTGTAAGTTGATGGCCGTGACTGAAGGCCTTCCCACATTCTTTACACTCATAGGGTTTCTCCCCTGTATGAATTCGCTCATGTTTGACAAGGCTTGACCCATAAATAAAGGCCTTTCCACATTCCTTACATTTGTAAGGCGTTTCACCAGTGTGGATTCTCTCATGCTGAGTAAGGTGATAGCCACAGTTAAAGGCCTTCCCACATTCTGTACATTTATATGGCTTCTCACCCGTATGAATTCTCTCGTGTTTCACGAGACTCGAACCCCAACGGAAGGCCTTCCCACATTCCTTACACTCATGAGGTTTCTCACCAGTGTGAATTTTCTGATGCTGAGTGAGATAATTGACGCGAGTAAAGGCCTTCCCACACTCTTGGCACTCATAGGGCTTCTCACCGGTGTGAATTCTCTTATGTTGGACGAGGCTGGAACCACAGATAAAGGCCTTCCCACAGTCTTTACATTCGTAGGGTTTCTCACCACTGTGGATTCTCTTATGCTGAATTAGTTTATACACTCGGCTAAAGGTCTTCCCGCAGTCTTGGCATTCATAGTCTTTCTCACCGGTGTGAAATCTCTGATGCTGAGTGAGCTCATCGCCGCGTCTGAAGGCCTTCCCACAGTCTTTACATTCATAGGGCTTCTCACCCGTGTGAATTCTCTTATGAATAACGAGGCTTGAACCCCACCGAAACGCCTTCCCGCAGTCCTTACATTCATAAGGTTTCTCACCAGTGTGAATTTTTTGATGTTGAGTAAGCTGATTACCCCAACGGAAGGCCTTTTTACATTCTTTACATTCGTAGGGTTTCTCACCAGTGTGAATTTTCTGATGTTGAGTAAGTTGATAGCCTCGGCTAAAGGCCTTCCCACATTCCTTACATTCATAGGAATTTTCCCTGTTATGAAGTCTCTGATGTGGTCGAACGGAGGTATTTTCTCTGCAAGTGGGCGTTTTCCCACAGTTGATTTGATTGATATATCCCTCTTGTGGGGCCTGTGGTCCTTCAAACTCACCTTCACACATCCAGTCAAGGCCAAGGGATTTACTTTTTCTATTTGAGTTCTGTTTGGAAAAATTTATCTCATAAGTGCCCTTCTGTGTAGGTAAACTCTTGGTCTCATAGGGTGATTCCAAATCTGAAAAAAAACAAAACGAACAAAAATCCCAAAAACCCCAACATATTTTGTTTCTTTTTAAGAATACAAAAACAAACCTAATCACAAACTAAAACCTTCTCTAACAGAAATAAAACTTCTCCAGTGGGAAAAATATGAATCACCTAGGGCTCTTATTAAAATCTAGATTCCTCGTCTAGCATCACAATACTTAATGAGGAAACACTGGAGACATCCCTGCTAAAATCAAACAAAAAAGGCACTTACTATTAGCTCTACTATTTCCTACCAGCTGAAACAATTAAGCAAAAAAAAAAAATTAGAAGGACAAATCTCAAAAATGAAGATGAAAAATAGTACAATTTATAGATGTGATGACAAACCTGGAAAACCAAGAAAATCAAATATAGAACTACTGTAGGAAAATAAAAAGATACAGTTGGATAGTTGTGTATACACACAAAAACATAAGTAATATCATTAAAAGTAATTCTGGATACAAAGATCCAACATTCAAAAGATGTGTGTAGAATTAAATTTAATCATAAAAATTGTGAAACACTTAGGAGGAAATGTTTAGAAAAATCTGAGCATCAATAAGGATGCAAGGGGCTCCTCCCTGGTGGCGCAGTGGTTGAGAGTCCACCTGCCGATGCAGGGGACACGGGTTTGTGCCCCGGTCGGGGAAGATCCCACATGCCGTGGAGTGGCTGGGCCCGTGAGCCATGGCCGCTGAGCCTGCGCGTCCGGAGCCTGTGCTCCGCAACGGGAAGGGCCACAACAGTGAGAGGCCCGTGTACCGCAAAGAAAAAAAAAAAATAAGGATGCTAACTCAAGGGACTGTAAAACATCAAACATGTTTAAATTCATGAGTTCATTCAGATACTAAAAAATGTTAAATGGCCAACTTCGGAGCATGCTAGGAAACCAGCCCTTTGTTATTAAAAACAGGTAGTTTTTTTTCTTTAAAGAACAAAGTTTTCATCTTTCTTATCTAATATAAGCAGTTCCACTACACAACCAATTAGCAGGTGGATCACTTTCTCTTCAAATAATTATTTATAGTGAATAAATGAAGAGGCAATGATAGAATGCCACCATTTTGAACCCCCAATGAAATACTGAATCTGGGTACTGTCAGTGACTGCTAACACAGCATCAAAAGAGACATAAGCAGATATTGCTTCGTGATGGAAGAACAGGGAACCCAGGAAGCAGTATCACCAAAAAACAGATAAAAAGGAAAAAAGCATGTGAAGCTAGGATAACGACCAACTTTCAGAAACTACGAATGGCACAGGGTCCTGTTTTCTATGCCCTTGCTACTCAGTAGGGGTGAAACATGAGAGGGAAAACAAATTGAGAAGGGAATGGGGTGAAGATAAAGTTCAAGGTGGTGACTTCTTCCTCAGAGGCCTTGGGTCTGAGACCTTTGTAGGGAGCTCTGCAAACACCTCAGGGCTGCAGCCGCCCCTGCCCAGCTGGGCCGCTTGCGGTAACGAAGGCTTGCCTGAGCCGGGCTGGCTGTCGCTCTCCTCTGCACCACTTTCCTGTCTTTTCTCCTCAAGTATTGAAGCTCTCTCCCTTGCTTCCATAAGACAATTGTGTCTGTCTTAGAAATGAGATGTCTTGCTTTCAGAAAAAGAAATGCCACATGATGTAGAACTTAGGAGAAAACTGTTGGCTCAAGATTTTTTGATTGCGCTTTAGTCAAATTTGTAACAACCTAAAACTGATTTCAGGAAAAGAGAAAGGCCTGAAGGACAAACAGGAAACCAGATGGGTAGGGAAAAGGGCTATTTTATTCTATTCTATTCTAGTTTACTTTATTTTTAAAAAAAATTTAAAATTTTTATTTATTTTTATTTGTTTATTTTTTGGTCTTGTGTCGAGGCTTGCGGGATCTTAGGTCCCCGACCAGGGATTGAACCCGGGCCCACAGCAGTGAAAGTGCCGAGTCCTAACCACTGGACCACCAGGGAATTCCCGAAAAGGTCTTTATTTAAACTTCTGGAGGCAAGCAGAACCTGGCAGTTGAGAGTACGGATTCTGGGGCCAGAATTCTTAGGTTCCAGGTTTGCTTCTGCTTCCTTGGTTAAGTCACTTTGTGCCCCAGTATACTCATCTACAAATTAGACGTAATAATTTCCTAGCTCATAAACTTGTGAGAATGGAATGAAACGTATTTGTACATATACATACACACCAGGCTCAGAATGTTTTCTGGTGCAGAGCAAGCACAGTATTTATTAGCCATTAATATTATGGCTGTTATTTTGCTAATAGGAAAACAAGAAATTTCCTTACATATTTACAAGATATTATCAACCAATATTTCACTCAGAATTCATAGATTATAACTTTCAACCTCACTTCAGGTACAATGTGTAGAGAATGCAATATGCTCAGTGTGGTTTTACACAGATTCTGTTCATTCATCCCACCTCTACATCAAACATAGAGTCTGGTTTGCTAGAGAAAATCAAGTCACTGTGTAGAGCCATTTCCCCTAAAGGTGGGTCCCCAAAGTACCATCGACAGCAATTTGGGTGTAAACATAGGCTCACAGCATGAAGCTTGGTTTCTTTGAAGATGGTCATGAAATAAAATAAATACATTTATTCTAATAAATTAAATAACTCTCATCAGTCCTTTGGCCAGTAAGGAAGAGAGGTAATTACAGGAGGGGCCAGACAGAGGTGGGAAGATCACTGATGGATAAGGAGGTGAAGGTGCATATGTAACGCCCATTTCCAACTGGACAAAGCTCAAAACATCCCTTGGATGCAGGAAGAAAGAAATTCAACTAGTATCTTGAAAGGTGGTCCTAAAAGGAGAGAGCTGACTGTGCAGGGAGCAGAGTCCAGATTATCTGAGGCAGGCAACTTACCCAGGGAGACCAAGTTACTGTAGTTCTCCAACATCACGTCCCAGTACAGGTCTCTCTGCGTAGAGTCCAGACATGCCCACTCCTCCTGAGAGAAGTCTATGGCTACATCGGAGAATGTCACCAAACCCTGGAAATGCAAACCCACACGTCCCTGATGAAACGAAAGCACACAGTTTCCAGGTGGAAGAGTGGGGAGGAAGGGCTACACCGCTCTGTGCAGGGGTGGATACAGCGAGTAGAATTAAAAGCCTGTGATATGGGGAGGGGCCAGTGAGGACACGACTGGCTGAAGCCCCTCCTGCTGCAGGGGAAACCACCTACACCCTGGGGAAATTTTTTTTTAAATTTTCATTTATTTTATTTTTGGCTGTGTTGGGTCTTTGTTGCTGCACGCAGGCTTTCCTCTGGTTGTGGTGAGCGGGCGCTACTCTTCGTTGCGGTGCGCAGGCTTCTCATTGCAGTGGCTTCTCTTGTTGCAGAGCACGGGCTCTAGGCGCACGGGCTTTGTTGCTCCGCAGCATGTGGGATCTTCCCGGACCAGGGCTCGAACCCATGTCCCCTGCCTTGGCAGGCAGATTCTTAACCACTGCGCCATCAGGGAAGCCCATGGGGAATTCTTAATCATGCCAACCTGTCAGGAAATGGATAAACCAATCCCAGTTTTCCTCCGCTGCACAAGCGCAGAGCCTGCTAACGGGCCTGTCTCATGAATTCTCAGCAAGCATGGATTCCTACAGCATCCTTTTCTCTTTAAGGAGAAAGAAAAAAAATGCCTGGGGTTTACTTCCCAAATGTAATATAAGATCTTTTATCTTAGAAAATCGGGTTTGCATGTTTGAATGTTTTCAAGTCTCAGGTTCATCATTTTGCCAGGTTATCTTTTAAGCAGTCCACCTTTGTAATGACAAAAGCATTTTTTTATTCCATCGTAGGGAAGGATTAGATTTAATTATGATAGTCACACACTTAGGTTGAGCAAAATGTCTAAAGTTTCCCCAGTTCTAGGACTATATAATCATTTATTACTCTTGTATGAAATGACCTTCTTACCTGTTACCATCCACTAGCCTTGCCTTTTCTTTGCTCCTGATTTACAGGAAACTGGTATCAAATGATTCAGGAGCATTCAGACAGGTCTGTGCAAAACAAAATTTATCTCCCAGGTCCCCTGGTAGGAACATGATCTCTGAGTCCACAGGCCCTAATCACAGCTCTACGCAATTCTAAAAGCTTCGTAAAGTGTGAGCTTTCACTACACACTAAGACTGAGACCAAAGAATATGAATACTCCCTCTTATCTGCCTGGGAAAAAGATCAGTGGAGATGAGTGAAGAATTCTAGTTTTCTCGTGTGGTCAAATGGGACCAATGTCTCCAACTCATCAAATCGTAGACTTGACTCAAATATTTCTCCAAAGGTAGTTTCTGCTTCCATTGTTCCAATTACTCTTGACAAAAAAGTGAGTACATAAGAGATACTGAGTAACTAGCTCAAGGGTTAAGTGCACATTAGTCACAGAGGTGGGCAGTAGGTTATGTGGCGTTATCATTCACTGGAACAGGAAGAGTTGGGAAGCAGGTACTTGGATGGGACTCACTTGGGCAGGAGGCTTCATGATATTTCAGAGAAGTATCCACAGGACCTAAATACCACAATTCAAGAAGGAAAGAGAAAAACATACTTACGTGGGCCATGGTTTTAGAATTCAAGAACTGATCGGTCCTCTTGGGGCCTCCTTTACTGAAGACACAAAATCCAAAGAAGCCAGATCTAGACAAGGAAAAAGAGGCATTAAAATAACCCTCCTGGACCTCACCTTGTGCACCTGTTTCCTTGTCTGATGTTAATCTTTATCCTTTCCCTGTCATTAACTGTATCTGGGAGTAGAACAGCTCTCAGTGAGTTCTTCCTTCTAGTCCTGAATTATGAAAACTGAGGGTGGTTTTGGGAAACTCCTGAACTTGCAGTTGGTGTGAGAACTGAGGGGGGTCTGGTGTGGAGACTGCACCCTCAAACCTCACTGTCTGAAGTTGGCTAACTCTGGACAGAGGGACGGTGACCTGGACTGAGACTGGGTGTGTTTAGGGAGCTTAGTCTCACTCTGAGCACATCCTGTTCTCTTTGGTCACAGCATCCAGGGTGGGGAGAGGCTGCATCATGCACACTCGAGGTCTTCTGGCCTCTAGACAGTGTGATGTCAGTCAAGACTTGGCAGGTGGACAGTGTGGAGAAGGGACTGCCCAGGTAGCGTTTGGCACTCTGAATCCAGGAAAGCTGGCTGCATAAGTATATGCAGAATATCAGTGTAAAAATGTATTAGGGGACTTCCCTGGTGGTCCAGTGGTTGGGACTCCACACTTCCAATGCAGGGGGTGCAGATTTGATCCCTGGCTGGGGAAATAGGATCCCACATGCCGCACGGTGTGGCCAAAAAATTAAAAAAAAAAAAAAAAAAATTAGTGGGCTATTAAATGCTAAGTTGGAAGAAATACTTAAAGGCATGAAAGATGTTTTAGGTATATTGTCAGTAGGAAAGATGTTACAATAATACATTTGTAAAATTCTAAATATAGATATATATACATACTCATATATATGTATAACATGATAAAGATACCTATATCTATATAGATATATACACACATACAAGATACATGAATGCACATAGAGACACACACATACACAAACAACCCATGAGGCAGTAATAGAAAGAGAGCTATAAAAACAGAAATAGAGAAATAGAAAAAGCCTGGAAAGATATATCCCATGTGCAGAAAAGAGCCACAAAGTGGCTCTGAAACCGCTAATCTTAGGCCTGCTTGCAAGACTGGGCCCTTGGCTGGCTTTCCAGTGTGTTCCAACCATTCCCTGACTGGTAAGAGTGGCTCACTGTTCTTAAATTTTTTTGGTACAAGCCATGTGGTTTATGTTGAACACAAACCTTCCTCCGAGAGCCTGGAATCTGGGTATGTGCTGGGCAGAGGGTGCCTATGTGACAGACTCCCCCATAAAAACCCTGGACTCCCAGGCTCAGGCGAGCTGCTCTGGTAGACAACACTGCATATGTGCTGTTATAACTCGTTGCTAGAGGAATTAAGCATGTCCTGTGTGACCACACCGGGAGAGGACTCTCGCAAGCTTGGGTCTGCTTTCTTCCAATGTTGCCTACGTGTCTTTCCCTTTGCTGATTTTGCTGTATATCCTTTCACTAACAGATTTTAGCCATGAGGAGAATGATATATTGAATCACTATCTAGAGAATCACTGAGCCTGGTGGTGGTCTTGGTGACCCTGACACACCCTTTGACCTTGATTTTCTTCTTTTTAAGTATACCTTGTTAGGTGTTTTTTTTTTGCGGTATGAGGGCCTCTCACTGTTGTGGCCTCTCCCGTTGCGGAGCACAGGCTCCGGACGCACAGGCTCAGCAGCCATGGCTCATGGGCCCAGCCGCTCCGCGGCACGTGGGATCTTCCCGGACTGGGGCACGAACTCGCGTCCCCCGCATCGACAGGCAGACTCTCAACCACTGTGCCACCAGGGAAGCCCCCCTTGTTAGGTGTTTTAACAACAGTCATGCATTGGCTTAATGTATATAAATGTGTGTGCATTTATTTATTTTAAAGTTATTAAGAGACAGGTTCTCAAGGGATAAAGTTCCACTCTCTTTTTTAAACAGACTCCTCTGCAACTTGCAGAAAAGGCTCAGAATATATTATCTTTGGATTATTTTAGTGAATACCTTCTCTTAGTTTCCTTTCACTACCTAATACCTAAACCAACTCTTTGATGTCTAAATATGCCCACATGTGCTGGAGTACTGACCGGAAAAAAATGACTACAATGCCAAGTGATGGCCTGTAGATACTGACAGTTATCTTGACACTGCTTAGTTTTATGTCTTGATGCAAGGGTGAATTTTGCTCTTGAACCTGTCCTTTCAGCCAGTGTCCTGCAGATAACTGCTAAATCACCTGACCCCGCTAGTCTTCACTTTGCATCCAACACTATCAGAAAAAAATATGTAAGGCATAAAACTTAGAAAATAAATTTCCTTTATCTCTACATAGAGCCTGTGCATTCAAGATTACTTGGTTGTGACCTGACATCAGCGGCTACAGTGAGAATGATACCCCCTTCCCAGCACTTCTCAGGCCACATCACCTGGAATTCTCCACAGGCCTTGACCACAGGCCGCCTTGTACTTCTCTATTCGGTTTCCCCTCCTTGCTGGACTACAAGCAACGTACAGGTAACAATGCCTTCTAGTCATCTGTCATTCTAAGTGCTATTGTAGGCGCTTAACAGAAGTATGATTTTTGACTCAAAATTCCACTTTTTGGAATTTATCCCAAGGAAATGGCTATACTAGTACACAAATATATGCACAAGAATGTTCAGAGAATTTTTTTTTTTTTTTTTTTTTTGGCTGTGTGGTGCAGCACGCGGGATCTTAGTTCCCGGACCAGGGATCGAACCCGCGCCCCCTGCAGTAGAAGCGTGGAGTCTTAATCACTGGACGAACAGGGAAGGCCCCAGAGAATTGTTTTTAGTGGATAGTTTTTTTTTTTTTATTTGAGATAACTGTACATTCAATGTGCAGATGTAAGAAATTACACAGAGGGATCCTGTGTTCCCTTTATCCAGTTTACCCCAAGGGCAATACACTGCAAACCTATAGTACAATATCACAACTGGGACCTTGACATCGATACAATCCATCAGTTTTATTCAGATTTTCCAGAGGATCATTTTAACAAATGAAAAAAGTAGAAATATAAATATCTCCTAGTAGAGGATAGATTAAATAGATTGCAGTCTGTTACAATGGCATGCATACTATACATTTACCAATAATGATATTGACTTACATTAATTGAGAAAAAAATTTAAGATGAATTACCCAGCTGAGAAGGTAGGTTTAAAAAGGTATAGGTAATTTGGGACAAGAGGTCTTCATGAATTTAAGAACAAGGCTCTGTGGTCTGACTTTTAGGATATGGATCTTCGCTCTTACAGTTACTAACTTCACAGTATCTATTTCCTGACAGGTAAGACTGGGATAAAAATCGTACCTACCAGGTATGACTTTCTCAACTACTAAGAAGATAATCTACATAAAACACAAAAACACGTAACAGTTATTTAATACAAGTTAGCTGTTATGGTTTAAGATCAATAACATTAAATATCCCTTAATTCGTTTTTATAAAACAAACTCAAGCCTGCTGTTTCCCGTTTTTCTTATGCTAAAATACGTATTTCTCAAAACTGCTGTTTATATAATCAATGCTAACTAAAAACTTTCAAGATCCTCTTAAAAATGAAATTCTTTCCAATTACAACATTAGCAAAAAAAGATTCTAAGACAGATAATGAGGAAATGTTCCCTTGCCGCCAGCAAAGAGAGGGACAGACACGATTTCTGTACCCAATTCCAGCTCAAAGAATCTAAACTGAGAAGATGCCAAACTGAGAACATTAGTAAGTGGTTGAATCTTGTCTTCTATGTGACATGGGAGATTCAGGTGAACATTTTAAACTTGTCATCTCTTTTTCACATATCTGCCCATGGAAATGTTACTTGTGCAGGCCATATTTATTATGTATCAGTGATCACTGTCATGTTTTTTGAAAGCAATACTCAACTCCTAGAAAATCTAATTTTGAAAGTCTGTCTTTCTTGATAATTTGTTGCCATGGGATTAGTTTCAAATGGTGCCTCTCTAATCCTTCAAGGTGTAAATATGTGAGAGATTCTTTTCAAAGCAAGAAGGGGATCACTGGGTACACCTCTCCCCTCTCCACATGCACAAAGGTATAATGTGACCCGTGGCTGAGTTGGATTCCTTTTACAAACTAAGATTTGGAAAGTCTTGGGCTCACTTACAGACCAATTAGTGGGACTCAGTGTTCCAGAAATAAAACACACACATATGCTTAGAGGGGGAGGGGAGGACTGGAAACATACCTACCAAAATATCAACAATAATCATCTCTGGAAGATACAGTAATGGGTACTTTTCTGTTTCTTCTTTATAAGTGCTTTAGAGGATTGAAATGTTTTTCAGCAGGCCTGCATTAATCCCATTATAAGAAATATACCTTGGGCTTCCCTGGTGGAGCAGTGGTTGAGAGTCTGCCTGCCGATGCAGGGGACACGGGTTCGTGCCCCGGTCCGGGAAGATCCCACATGATGCGGAGCGGCTGGGCCTGTGAGCCACGGCCGCTGAGCCTGCGGGTCCAGAGCCTGTGCTCCGCAACGGGAGAGACCACAGCAGTGACAGGCCCGCGTACCGCAAAAAAAAAAAAAAAAGGCTCACAAAGCTGATAACTTTGTCATTAACTGACTAAAACAATCAAACCTTCTCCTTTCTTACTGTGCTCTGAAAGTCAGCCCTGTGGAAAAGACCAAAGATATCTAGCCTTTGATTCTACCTAAAAATTTAATATCCTCCTTACCAGATCACACACTAAAAGTGCTAACATTAACCTCCCAGTAGTATTCCTCGATCCTAGTGGAGTTTTGGAAGACCACAAAGGAGGATGTGAACAATTTACTTACTGAATATGTGAGTACTCATTGAGAGGGTTGGTCAATGGGGAATACACATTCGCGACTATTGTCACACCTCTTGGGAAGAAATTACTGGGTCAAGTCACTATTAAAGAGCACATTTCGGGGCAAGGAAAGCA